GCAACCATACAGGCAAAAGTTACACGGGGCTGCCCACAAGGAGGAATACTATCTCCAATGCTGTGGTCAGTTCTCGTGGACGACTTACTCAAAATATTGTCCAAAGAAGGCTACCAGTGCCTAGGATACGCAGACGACCTAGCAATCATCGTCAGGGGGCGATTTGCAGGTACAGTTTCGGAGCGATCTCAAACAGCTCTAAACATAGTGAACAACTGGTGCAAAAAGGAACAATTGTCCATCAACGCACAAAAAACAACAGTTGTACCATTCACAAAAAAGCGGGTACTCACAGGTCTAAGACCACTAGTACTAAACAGCACAGTTATCCCATTCGTCACAGAAGCCAAATACCTCGGAGTCATATTTGACCAAAGGCTGACATGGAATCAACATCTCAAAAAACTCACACATAAAGCTACAATAGCTCTCGTAAGCTGTAGAAGAATATGTGGGAAAACTGGGGTCTAAACCCCAAAATGACCATATGGTTATACACAAGGGTAATAAGACCCATGATAACCTATGGCGCAGTGGCGTGGGTAAGCAAAACTGCGCAGGCAAGTGCAATAGGCCAACTCACTAGCATTCAGCGGCTTGCCTGTCTAAGTGCTACTGGGGCCATGCGCACTACGCCGACCGCAGCAATGGAGGTATTACTAAATCTCACGCCATTGCACATCTTCATACAAGGAGAAACCAGGTCAGCTATTCACAGGCTAATGCAGGGACAAAACCCAATAAGCCAACTACATAGCGCCGACCACACTAGGCTATATCAGCAAGTACAAAGGGATAATATTCTAGCTATGCCTACTGATAGAGCCATAACCACATACAAATTTGAAAGAAATTTTCAAATTCAAATACCAGCCCGAGAATCCTGGAAACAGGGACCTCCCCCCGTACAGGCTGAACTCGTTTGGTACACAGACGGTTCAAAAACCAAGGAAGGAGCCGGTGCTGGAATCTATGGACCTAAGTCGAAATCAACGATTTCACTAAGCTTAGGAAAATATGCAACAGTGTTCCAGGCTGAGCTAATAGCCATACAACACTGTGCAAGAGAAATATTAAATCAGCAAGTATCAGGCAAAACTATTGCCATATACTCTGATAGCCAAGCAGCTCTAAAGGCAATTCTCTCACCAGAAATCAAATCACGACTGGTGAAAGACTGTCTAGAAGACCTGACAGAGCTAAGTAGTCAAAATAAGGTGACCTTAGCCTGGGTTCCAGGCCATGAGGGATATCAGGGCAACGAAAAGGCCGACGAATTAGCCCGAGAAGGCTCAGATAAGGCCATGACAGGCCCTGAACCCTTTTGTGGAGTCGCTAAGGCATTGTGCAAGGCATCCATTAAACAATGGATGCAAAAAGAGTCTCAGGAATGGTGGAACAACTATCCAAGACTGAGACAGGCCAAACAGTTCATCAAGAAACCATCGGCCAAGTTTACGAAAGACCTACTGGATCAAAAACGTCAAATCGTTAGGATAACAGTAGGCCTTCTTACTGGACACTGTCGCCTCAAAAGGCACATGAGTGTCATAAATCCAGCAGAAGAAGCAACTTTGTGCAGGTTCTGTGAAGAAGAAGAGGAAACATCATTCCACGTCCTGTGCCAATGTGAAGGCTTGGCTGGAATGAGGTTTCTAACATTGGGCGAAGAAAAGCCAATTGCATGCAACTACATGCGGGAGCCACTGTCAAAGCTACTAAGTCTAATAAAAAAGACCAGGCTAGACGACATACTCTAAAACAAACGGAGTCCCACAATAGATCTGAAAAGGTCGCGGTGGACAAGGACAAATAACGTCCAACTCCTAATCTAATCTAATCTACCGATGAAGCGGGTTTTACAAGAAGAGGTATAACTAATACCCATAATGAATATGTTTATGCCGTTGAAAATATGCAATAAAGGTAAACCATTTTCAGCACGAATTCAAAATTAATGTGTGGGCTGGAATAATTGGTAATTTCATTGTTGGTCCTGTCATACTTCCACGAAGATTAACTGGAGAAAATTATTTGAATTTTCTACAAAATACGTTGCCAGAATTGTTAGAAGATTTACCTCTCCAACTTCGGAGAGATATGTGGTTTGTGCAAGATAGAGCTCCACCACATTTTTCTTTAAACGTTAGAAACCACTTGAATGAACAATGTCCACACAAATGGATAGGCAGAGGTAATGACGCACCTGTAAACTGGCCACCACGTTCCCCAGACCTAACACCGATGGATTACTTTTTATGGGGACATCTGAAATCCACAGTTTACAGGGAACCTGTAGAAAATGAGGAACAACGTATTCAAGATGTAATAAACAATCTTAGAGGTGATGAAGAAGTTATGGAAAGGATACATTTTAATTTTCTTCGATGTATAAATCTTTGTATGCGTGAAAATGGTGAACATTTTGAACAATTTTTGTAAAATCTCTATTTTGATTATGTTGTAAATAAATATTTTTGTGAAACCTATACACTCTAAATTATTAAAACAGAAATTTAGCGAAAACCATGAGAGTAATCGAGTCTTATCAAGAGTACCTTTTTTAAAGTAAATGAGTTGCGCAATCTAAATTTCATACTCAAACTCCTTTTCTTCCATTGGCGTAGAATTTTTAAAGTTGCAATTATTTAAAAAATCAAGTTTTACGCCTATGTATTATTATCGGACAAAATTTTAATACCATTTTTTTGCCACATAAAACTCTACCAATATAACAAATTTCAGCAAAATCGCATATGCCGTTTTAAATTTATATGGGAAAAACGATTTAAAAATTGTAACTTCAAGGCCCTCTGGAGCCCAAACGAAGCAACTTTGAACTAAAGTAATTTTACTTAAATCGACTTATTTTGGTCTAAGAAATATGTGGTATGTTTTTGTAAAGACCTTTTACAGACACCCTGTATACAAGGTGAGCAGTTTTTAAAATGAAAATTATTTTTAAAAGTCGGCAGATTTCGACTAAAATTGATATCTGAGAATTTTAGAAGCCAAAGATTACAGATCCTTAATAATTTTTTAAAAATTCAAAATGGCCCTTAAAGGAATCGTATTTAATCAAAAGAGGACTTCCTTGAATGGAAATAATAAAAATTGTCCTTTTGGTAACTGGACCATTTAAAAAGCAGCCAATTACTATTGTTCAATAACGGTGATCGTGGCGAAGAATACCGAGTGGACGCGAAGTGAGAATTCGGGTGGGATCAAGAGGAAGATCGATGGATAGAGAAATATGAAAAAGGTTTTGGGTTTGGTTAAATTATTTAAATTTAAGTGCTTAGTGTTTTTACAATTTCTATATCGAGATAAGTTCTGGGTAAAATAATACTGATTTTTTATAAAAGTAGTAAGTAAGCGATTGCTAACAACGAACGCAGCGTAAACTTTTGTTGGAGTTAATTTATTAATAAAAAAGTTAAAACAAGCCGTTTAACTGGACAACGTAAAATTTCGTAAATTTAATTAAATTATACTAAAATGCTAATTGTTTGTAGAATTCACGGGATGAAATACAGTATATACTAAGTCCAATTAATAAAATTAGATTTAAAACGAAGTGTCACATTTTAAAATCCCGCTATAGGGCGTAGCCCATTATTTTCAAATAATAAATTACTTATTATTATATCAAATTATTTAAATTTAAAATTGCAGAATTACACTCGAACTTCTCAAAACAGGCAAAAATGCAAAAAAGAGGACTAAGAAACATTATTGGAAAAATACGTAAAAAATACCTGGAAGTAGATAATGAAAACTACAACAAATATGAATAAAAACGCAAAAAACCTAAAGTAATTTACTGATAATTATCTTTAAAAAGAAATTACAATAATTGTAGGAATAAAGTATGAAAGCTTAATTATCTCACTCTATTAATGTAAAATTACCTTGAAATAGAATAATAATACTCAGTTCTTATGTTTAGTGTGAAATGAGAAGGTCCTTTTTAAAAACAACATTCTAGAACTAGAGGGTAATCGTTTAAACCAATTAGGAAAAATGAAATGGTATTATCGTAGCAAGATGAACCTTAAATTTCAATAGCCACCACGAATGCCAGACTTTCGTCACTTATTTTTTACAAAAATATATGTGAAAAGTTAGATAGTTTACTTTGTTCGAATCTTGAAAAATTAAACCTAACAGTTGAAAAAATATATTATTAGAATTCTACGAATGTCAACGAAATGGATTAAATATTAAAATATTTATTCGTATTAAATTTTCCATCTTTTTTTATATGACCGAACTTATAAAAACGCCTTTCATTTGACTTGAAATAAAACCTCCTATAATTTGTTACAAGATATCCTCATTGACGATTTAAGCTATACTAAACAAGGATAAAAATATAATATAGACAGTCTTATCTATAGGTTTGTATGGAGTCACAAGAAAATGCCTCAGGGCAATTCTGAAGTTGTCACTGGTCATCTGTCACGAGGTGTGTTCTGTCAATTGTCACGGTCATAAATGAGAGAATGAATGATGTTCTAAATTAAATATTTAAATAAATCCAACGTTGGATGAACGTATATAACGTCCTTAATAAAACAATAGTTTGTTCTTCGCAGTATCTACTAGTTAGCATGTTAAGGAATAATTTATTTAACCATTCTATACTGTCTCTCGGACAGTTTGAAGCAAATTTTCAGTTAACAAGAATAAGTCTTATATATTCAAAAATCGTGAACGTTTCAAATTAATTTCATGTCAATTTCTGGCGAAACCGATCTACCTTGATTGAAAAGGATTCTAATATTATTTAACTGTATGCTTTTGTAGCATCCTTAATGTGTAAAAAAATATTTAGAATCTTACAACCTAGATGTTAAGAAAAACGTAACAAATAAAAAAAGTTAAATAACTGGACGGGTTAAATGTCAAATATCATGCACCGGTTTTTGTGTTTTTTTGTTATTATTCGTGGGTTTGGGTTCTGACAATCCAAGCCATGATGACCATCTGGAACTCACACTGTCATCGTATTTTTGTTTGTATTCGTTCAGTTCTTGTTTTGTAGCGACCAGTACATCTTGAAGATTGATGATCGTTGTACGCTGATTGTCTATCTAAATGTAAAAATTATTTCTGTAAAACCATCAAATACATTTTGGAAATAATGTAATTTTGTAATACTATGGTAACTAAATGATCGCTAGTTTTATTTCAACAAGCAAACACCTACAAATTTATAGTTTTATTGAATTATGCTTTAAAAACGACAAAGCTATAAACGACAAAAATTACAGACATATCATTTAGAATATAATTCCTATGGCAAGTGGATTGATTAAATTGTTATTAATGAGCGAAAATGTAATAGTTTAGACGATATATGGTGGTGTAAATTGTCATAAAAAAAGATGATATTTAGATAAGCAGCCGAAAACTATATTTAAAGCAAAAATGGAAAGAATGAATAGGCCGCTCCATAATCTACCAGGAAAAAGAATAATTCAAGCTGTAATAAAAAATAAAAGAATGAAACAAGAGAGAAAGTAGACCGGTGATATGTTGGATTCATCAATTTATAAAAATAAAACAATTTTCTTACCTCTAATTTATATTTTTCCTCCGTAGCCTCTAATACATTTATGGTATTCATGTAAAGATCCACCTAGTTAACAAACATTTTCAATTTAAAAGCAATTAACGTCTCATGTAAATTTTATTTACACATTAGACAAAATATAAAAAATATAACACATATTATTTACAATTTTCTATAAATTTTCTACCAATTAAAACATCTTCGTGAAATCGATCTTCCTTTAAGACTCTGCAAATACGATACATGTCACAAAACGGCTGTTAATAAAAGACACTGAAGAAAGAGAAGAGGAAAAATATGCATCTATATAAAGGCAGTACGTTTTGATGAAGATATTTGAAAATTGCCAAAATTTCAACAAAAAGCGTATTTTAATTTGTGCAGATAAAGTATATAACTACAAGAAAAACGTTTTTCAAACAAAATACTTACAGCTGTTTGTAAATTATTTCCTCGCTTTTCCGCATTCTCAACGGATATTTCCAACTCGTTAACTTTATTTTTCAATTGCTGTATGCACGCGCAACACTCTTGATTTTTTGTTCGCATTTCTGCTTCTGCCGTTCGTAAACATTCCGTTTCTCTTTGTAGTAAGTTTAAGGCTTCTTTTTGTTTTTTTATTATTTCCTCCTTATTTGATATCTATAAAAGAAAATTACCAATATTATGTAAGTTCTCACTACGTCATGTGGTACTGATACCAAAGCAAAACTGTAACAAGTATGAGCTGGAGTATAAGTTCAGAATTAAATTATCAATGAACATGAGAAGTTTTTTTTGTAGATAGATTGCGTACTAACTAGCTAGTTTGTAAAGTAGTGGTTGGTTACCTGCTATTTTGCAATAATGGGCAGATTCCTTCAAAATAACAGCTATTTTAGTTAGATTGCAAAATTGCTGGTTAGTTTTGCAATTAGATAAAAATCCATCACTAAATAATTCATTGATTCAATTTAAAAATGTTTAATTTCCTTTTTTTTTTAATTTTAAAATGTTTAGTTCAAATTCATTTCCGCCTGATAACGTTCTTAAGAATCCCCGTATTTCAAAATATTTTCTTATTTACTGAAATTCGAAACCAACTTTAAACGTTCCAATTTAAGTAATTTATCTGGTCATTTTGGCTAATGTCAAAAGGACGTTTTTTTAGTCTTCCGAGTTGTAAATATTGGCTACTCCCACTCCGAATCACTCAGGAAATGGGGAAACCGAATCGCTCTGAATGAAACGTATTTAATCAGAAAGCAAAAAATGCAGTACAAACAATTTTTCCCCAAAAATCTATGGTAATACCAATACCTGAGGAAATACCATTAATTACAATTTTGTAGATTTTTTTATAGAAATACGAGTAGATACTGTTAATGTATTCAACTATAAATATAATATTTATAGTTCTTGATTATTTATCGGGAGTAGAAAAAATAGCGTATCCAACTCTCATATAATGGTTATTAATACATGATCGTTACATAATATACTATTATACAATACTTATACATTTCTACAATTTCATACGTTATATTTTCATTTTGTGTAGGTTAGATGTTACCAAATTAACAATTGTGTCATATACAGGAAAACGAAATCCAAGTGACTTTTCTTACCCCATACTAAAATATTATATTGTACAAAATAGAAAAAAACATTTCTGATTTAGGACACGGTATGTCTCGAAATGATCAAATATAATGGTTCCACGAAAGATAATGTGAAACAAGGTATAGAAGAAGTTAAAAAGGTGTTTTCTTGCTACGGTAGGCTTAAGAAAAATTCGAAATTTCAAGACAAGCGCTTAATGCAGCAGTAAGAGGTGAAAAAAGTAACAAAAAAAGTTGGCAGGCCTTATGTTTCGAGCCCAGACGATCAAAAAGTGTTGGGAACATATTATGTTTCCAAAATTGTTGTCGTGATAGACGATAAATTATTGTTAATCTTATTAAAGTTAGTGGAGGTCGTCATACTTTTCCTTTTGAACTTAATGATCTAACTTTATTGTCAAAACCTTTTGAAATACACATTTTGTTTTTCGATATAAAATAAACGTCACAAGTAGTGTTCCAGCTAGCACATAACGTTGTCAAGCCTTTCGGCGATGTTGCTTTAAGGGAACGTAATAACATTACTATACGTAAATGCAACTTTCATGAGAAGTTGTTGGGGGAAATCAATACTTCGAAAAACTTCTATTTGTTACTTACCTATTTAACCTACCTGTTATGTTAACATAACGTAATAAAGTAATTTGCTAAAAAAGTATCCACGAGAAGTACTGTGAACATCACAATCTGATTCGGAACGTTTATGTTTATGTCAATTGTAACTTGTCATATGTCATGTTTTTGATGGTTGTTTTTTAACTTGGAAAATTTATTTTATAATTATTATTTATACATTTGAGTAGAATTGGTAAGGATCCTCTATAAAATAGAAAACTATTTTCTTAACCTTTCTCTTCTACTATGGAACCTAGTGGCAGATGAACTGATGAAAACACTGAACAATCAAGGGCTATACGCCCAAGGATATGCCGATGGCATAGTCATCCTTATCCGAAGGAAACAGCCAAAGCTCCTCTATTTACCTTTAAAACCCGGTCATACATTACAAAGAAACGTAGTTGCGTAGCTATTTCGTAAATGCACCGACATGCGTTGCCTGGTGCGCTGTTGCCAGGCTGTGTAGTTTATCCCTTTCATATTTAAAAATAATTTTATCTATAACTCACTAATAGCAACAAGTTTGATTAATTAGAATATAGTTTAGAAATATACTGCGACACATCAAGCCCACCCCACCAATTCATTTTCGTACCTAGTGCAGGGTTTCCAACTCCGACGCATTGTGCGCAGAGATGTTACAATATTTCCCGAAACATTTCAAATAGTAAGTCTCTAAATAAAATGACATGTAACAGAACAAAAAACGAATTAAATGTGTACAAAGTAGATTAAGCTATTTTAACCATTCAGCAGACTTGATATGTTAGCAGCACTTATATTGACACCATTATGCAGGGCATTTTTGTACCTATCGTTTTTACATACAAACGCTTGCTAAATAACAACTTTTTAAATACTAAGATAATTTATGGCAAACACCATTATTATTCCTGAAAATAAATGCAAGCATTTTAAAAGCGTTAAACGTGGCACCCCCGCAATTTTAAATAACCTTGTTTCATTCATACTGTACTTCACGTATATTATTTTATCCATCGATAGTTTGCGACGTTGCGATCCAGTAAATTGTTGCATATTGGGTGTTTTTGTTAATCTTTAGCCTTTTTTGGAAAAATTTTGGCTTGTGTATAGCTAACATGGTTCGCGAGTGCCTTTTGTGCAAAAAACTGGAAAATGTGGGTGCTGAAGTATCTTTTCATAAGTAAGTAAGGTTAGGTGATAATGTATTGCATAGTTCAGTGGTGTAGATTTAAAGATTTTTGCCCTAATTATCACACGTATTACCTACTTTTGTTTTACTATTATTTTCTTTGATCTAACGTTATTAATTTCGCAAAAAATTGTAATTAATAGAAACACTTTAGTCTGCACTATAGTACTGAAATAAATATACTTATGCTTGATTTTTAGATTCCCAACTGAAAGGCATACAAGAAATATTTGGCTATCACTTGTAGGACTTGAAGAAAATAAAGGTATCCAAAAAAGAGTGTTATCCTCGGAGCATTTAAGTGTTTATCCTTTAAGATGAAAGTTGGTACTTTATCTTACACAGAAATTTTTATATTGTAAGTTCTTTAAATTTTGTAGGTGCTTAACAAGGACAAACTTTTTTATAAACTCACATTACATGCATCTTTGATTATTTTCATGGATTACCTCATTATTAATCAAAATGTATATTTACCTTTACATTAAAAGTTCTGAATACTCTGTTACAGCTCTGCTCTGATTTCAGTATCAGTATTTTTGACAGCCCTAGTAAGAAACCAGAAGATAGTTTATCTATGCCGAACACATTTAGAAAAAAACTATTTATGGATGATAATAAGTAAGTTAGTTTACTGCCTAGTTCTACAAGTTAAAAACTATCAATGGATAGGTTTATTGTTGTACAGTTCTACGTGTTTTCGGATTTTACAAAATTCTTATCGCCAGATCCGCTATAAGAAGCGTTTCAATTAAAATCCCCAACTTGTGTATGGTAAATTTATTGATTTAATAACTTTTATAAATTTATTAGTGTTAAAAATCTCTCATTTACCAATTTGTAAAACTGTTCAAATTTTAACCCCAACATTGGAATCGAAAATTTGTTTAAAATAAATCTTGATTTATTTATCTTGGTTTTAGTTTATTTATTTTATTTTATGTAACATGTTTATATGTAATAAATATTGTAATATTCGTTTTTAAGTTTTTTACCTACATTCCTCTGAACTTCATACCCTTATTCCAAATCCATTCGGTTTTAAAGTTTAAACCATTATAAAGTTTATTGCACACCATATAGGTTAGTATTTCATTATTTTTTTATAATTAGTTATGATTTTGTCTTTAATAAGATACGCCACTGGTATCGACAGACTTTTGGTTGCGTGTAACAGCAGCATTGCCAGACGATATTTTCGATTACAGTCTGTCTTCTTTCGATCCGCATAAAATATCTTTTTTCTCTTTTCTGATGATTGGGACCAAACAAAACATACCTTATGAATGAAATGCATCATCTATTGTTTCTTTTATCTAAGGAAATACCAAACCAGTCTTTGAACTCATGCAATGAGCTCTTAGGCTGACAGAAATGTGATGCGTTAGGGAAAACCTCTTCGTAAACCCTGACAAGGCACAACTCATAACCTTTACTCGGAAAACAAGGTTGGAAGTTTTAGAAACTCCGACTCTGTTTGGAGGAAAGCTAAACAAAACGAACCAAGTAAAATATCTGGGTCTAATCCTAGATAGCAAACTTACTTGGAATCAACACTTACAAAAAGTGACATAAATGTAAAATGTCTTTCATTGTAGGGGGGGACAGGCATTTGGAAAAACATGGGGATTAAAACCAAAAATGGTCCACTAGCTATATTTGGCAATAACAAGACCCATGATAACTTAAGTAGCGGTTGTTTGCTGGCCAAAAGAAAACAGCTCTAAATACCCTCTTAGGAGTTTAAAGGCTGGCATGCCTTTGTATTACAGAAGCACTGAGGAGTAAACCGACAGGAAATTATTCTAAACCTCTAAACCCCTTGACCTAGTCATAAAGGGGGAGGCCAAAATAAGTGCATACAGACTGGATATCTCCAACAACTGGAGCCCACTGGGACATAAAAAACATATCAGAATAACACATGAAGTAAATGATTCTATATTAAACATGGGATCAGATTACATGACACCCTTCCTAACTTTCAACAGACTCTTCCAGGTCAACTGCAACTGGAACGAGGTAAATAAGGAGATAGATAAATACTTGCATAGCGGTCTCGTATGGTATATGGATAGATCTAAAACTAACAAGGGAACAGGCTCTGGCGTACATGGAGTTAAACCCAAAAGCGATATCATCGTTTCACTGGGAAAACATACTACTGTATTTCCGGCTGAAATATATGCAATCCAATTGTGTGTACGAGATAATTTAAGGAGGAAGTACAAAAAAACCATCCTAATTCTCTCAGATAGCCAAGTAGCCTTGAGGACCTTACTCACCTCGTTCTTCTCCGCCGTTTTTAACCGACGGTTAAAAACGTCAGGGTAAAAATGTCACAAAAACGAAGTGTATGGGCAAGAACGTCGTTTATGAACGTCGTTCCAAAATTTCAGGCGAGTCTTGATTTTTGACGGTTATCGTGCCAACCGTTCGAGTAAACACGAGGTGTGTGTTCTCAACAGTTTGACTGGTCGGGCATATATCAGTAGCAGTGACGTTCAGCATGTTTTTGTTGTTTATTATTATTTACAACTGATGGAACAGAGATTTTTTATTAGAGTTTATCGAGCTTGGCAGGTTTCGGGTATTATGCGTCCTAGTGCCTGCGGTGAAATAATAACAGAGAACCTCAGATCCTCGTAGCTGCGGCCAGTGGCCAGAAACCGCAGAGTAGCTGTTAGGCGTTCGTGAGGACTGATGCATTCCCGTAAATGGGTTTATGTCTCTCAATTAACGGTGTTACTAGTTTTAACAGTTTCCGATACGAATCCTCGTCCATCCTCAAGTAATTATACCAATCACCAGGCTCCAATCTTAGCTCCTCCAGTAAATTTGTTTGTGACAGTGTACTGCGTTTAAGTAGCCAGTCTTTATCCATTTTCTTCGAGATTTTCTTTTTTCGCGATTTTTTTTCCACTGCCAAAACCGCTCCCACTGCTAACAAGCACGTACGGTCCATCGTGATAAACTGGCACAAAAAAAAAAACTGTTGTGTGTGGACATATCAGTCAACGTTTTTCCTTCCAACGTTTGTAACCGTCGGTTAAAAACGGAGAAGAAGAACGAGGTGAGTGGGGCCCTTTAAAGGCTCTTGATTCAAACAGAATCAAGTCAAAGCTTGTCTGGAACTGCCTTGGAATACTAAATGATCTGGCAACCCACAACTAGATAAAACTAGCGTGCGTACCAGGACATAAAGGTATCCAAGGAAACGAACTCGCCAAAGAGGGATTAGATCTACCATTCACAGGACCTGAACTTGTATTTGGGATAAGCAAAACCTCTGCTCGACAGGCAGTGAACAGGTGGATAACCACAAAACACCAAATTTACTGGCAACAGATAAGAGGGCACCGAATCAGTAAGCTCATGCTAGGGAGACCAAACCCATGCATGGCTACTGAGGCACTACAACTTGCAAGGCCTCAGATATCCATTGCAGGATTACTAACGGGGCACTGCTTGCTGAAACACCTTTATGTGATGGGATTACACAATGATCCCACTACGTGTAGACTCTGCATAGAAGAGGAAGAAACCTCATACCATGTGATCTTCGAATGCGAAGTTTTTACTAGACGACGTGTCACCTTTTTCGGCCTAGAACAGGAAAGAATGTCCCATCAACACTTGGTAGGGAATTTATTAAAACTAAGCAAAGACAGGACTATTCCAAAGATAGTACCTGAATACGGGGAAAGCAGGGGAATACAATATACGCAGGGTTTTGGGCCAAACCTAACCCTACTTGCTTATAACCGACAAAGATAAACCGTAACCTCTATGAGATGTACTATAAAAGTCTTGCCATTGCGGAAATTCAGCGGTTGCATGAATGTTAGGGTTACATTAACAGTACATTGCATTCGAGCTTAAAGATTCCGAAATTGCTGCTTATTATTATTTCCCAGAATCCTACCATTAAATACGATTTTAACTATACCATTAATTCAGTGGGCACAATGTCAGAATTGACACTTTTGTGTTACGTTAATTTATTAGCTTTTATTTAGAAATGAAAACTATAGGTACAACCTTTAATTTTGGCAGATCTTACACCTACGATAATTAGATGATTAAAAAATATGAAAATTTGCATGTTTAAATCCAAACGTATCTAGATATTTGCCTAATAATTACGATTTTAACTAAACCACCATGACTAAACTGTTTATTTAGTGGGCACAATGTCAGAATTGGCACTTTTGTGTTATATTATTAGCTTTTATTTAGAAAATAAAACTGTGAGTACAACCTTTAATTACTTAGATGATTAAAAAATATGAAAATTTGAATGTTAAAATCCAAAGTTACTTAAACGTATCTAGATATTTACCAGATAAATAGAAATTAAGAACACTGACTCATAAATCTTATTTTATACCACTTTTTTTTTAATTTTATCACTTCAAACGTTTTATCCGTTGCTTACTTACCTCTTGAGCTGTCCTCTCGGCTTCATTTAATTTCCTCTCCAATATCAACAATTTATTTTGTAACGAACAATTTTCTTTACAATACGTCTGCTTTTCGGCTAACAATTCTTTCTCCCGCTCACATACATTTTGCAATTCTTGCTGCATCTTTTCCAACGTACTACTTTGATATTTAATTAGTTCATCCCGATTCAGTAACTAAAAATAAAATAATGAAAACCAAATAATTGTTCAATATTTAATGTTTTACCAATTCTAATTGTTCGTGTGTTGGTTCCCGCCCGTCTGTTTGAACCTGAAATATTTAAGAAACTATTTTTTATTTACTCTGATTTGATAGTGCATTCCGGATCTCTTAAAATAGAATCGTTGACTTTCATAGATATATTTAGAACTGCATAGCGTTAACAAAAAAACTTTTATATCTCATGCGAAGAGTATTTATGTCATTATATCATTTCAGGAATATACATGAAGGTTATAACCAATACAATATTTTCCGCTATTTCTATAAAAAGCAATTATATCCCCAATGATATATAAAAAGTGAACTAGGGATTCTGTGGGCGGAATTAAGTTCATGGCCAGTAACATTTTTCGCAGTAACGTAGCTTCTATCAAGGTAGCAGGACCACTTTGGCGCTGAATCAGTATTATTTTATTACCGCAAAGTAATGTATTTTGTAAACTAGAATATATTGTAATGTAATATGAAATAGTTCTACCGTCAAACGGGGTGAATCGGGACGATTTTTAGATATTATTATTAATATTTTCTTCTAAAACTATCGAAGAAAATTAAAATTTAGGGGAAAGTGATCGTAGTCAATACGGCTGCTGAAATATGTATTGGATAATTATCTGATTTGAATAAATTAATTAAAAAAAAATATAATATGGTGTGTCCCGATTGATCCCGTTTTGGGGCGAATCGGGACACGCTATTTCAAGCCATGCAATGTGCATGTCGCCTCGAGTATGGGGTTAATCGGGACAAAAATAAATTAAAATATTATTTTTTATTTATTTTTTAATATAAAAGGTAAAAAAAAACAATTAAATTTGGAAATAGCCTTTATTTTATAGTTTTAAAGTACATAGGATTTTAGCTTCATTTGCAAAGGAAATTCGTAGCCTCCTCGTCGCAATTTAGTTGGTTTAGGCAGTTTTTTCACAATTTGTTCCAAGCTAATCATGCATATGTCATCCACTGTGGGAAAGATATAGCAATTTTTTATCTTTCTGTTAGGTCTAAGAAATTTAACTTCAAAAGTTTCATCAAAGATTCCCTTAATTTGCCCGATGAAATATTTGTTCACTTTGTTTTAAATTCAACCTCTACAAAGTTGTCAGTTGCGATGTTTTCCATAGTAGGCTGCACATCTTCAAAGTACTCTTCCTGTTCCATTATTTCTAATTCCGGTTCTGATTCAAGTTCTGACTCAAGTTCCGAAGTTTCATTCTCTTGAGGCACTACAGTATTGCTTGTTGACGGTTGCGGTTCTAAAAAATCTGTTGTTGAAACGCTTTTGCCTGGCTCCACTTGAATTTTCTTTTTCCTTGCTACTGTTGGTTTGCAAGCATTCCTGCTTTCGTTAAGCAATTCTACAACAGACCCCGTCCAGGCATTAGGATCGTCCTCTTCGAGATTTCTTTCTTGTGGCAATCGTTTTAAAACCTGAGTCCTATCAAGTGGAATAATTCCCATCCCACGAAATCCGCTTTTAATATTCTGACTTAGAGTCCCTCCTAATTTGTCTATAGCACGTTTTAGTAAACTCGGAAAATACTCCTTCGGCAAAGAACCCTTGTATTCTTTTTTTTCCAATCTTGTATAGTTGACCTCCAAACCTTTTTCATTGGGCCAAAAACAGAGACGTCAAGTGGCTGTGTTAAATGGGTTGAATTCGGCGGCAATAAACAAAACCTAATATCATTTTCTTCGCACAATTCAATAACTCTGAACGACAGATGACTACATAAGTTATCGCCAATGATTACCCTTGGTGCCGAACGTCTTTTCAAGAACGGTAGAGCAATAGAAATAAACCATTCTTCAAATAATGGCTGGTCGAACCAGCCACTTTTATTTCGTCCATAACGCGCACCTTTTGGTCCATTTGTCAACCAGGTATCGTAAAGATGCTCGCTCCTATAGACTAGAAATGGGGGTAATGGCTGGCCATCACCACTTACGGCAAACATTACTGATGTCGATGTTTTTGTTGAATCGATTATGCGTTCTGGATGTCTTGTTTTTCTTTTTACGATGACTTTTTTCCGTCCGGGATCATCTACAAAGCAAGTTTCATCATAGTTGATGATGGATTCAGTTTCAACGTTTTGTAAGTTTTCTTGGAGGTGGTCAAAATATTAGTTATTATTTCCCGAGACACTGCTGCCCGAGCTCGTTTAATATTTTCACAGTCTTTCAGTGAGTGATTCTTTATGACGCAAACAAAACAAATTCGCCCAATCAACACCGGGCATATTATTATTAAATTTTGCCACTCTTATTCCTTTTCAATCAAGATATGCCTTAACGATGTATCGAATATCAATTTTTTCCAACGGGTATCCCCACTCTCCCGCCAATACTATCAAATGCACTAGCCTACTTTCTTCACCTTCTGACAAAATAGATTGCCCACCATGTTTCTTTGGCTTCTGTTTAGCATGTCGTTGTAGCGTCGATCTTGGTATATTATATAACTCTTCTGCTTCTCGAAGGGTAATTTGGCCTCTTCTAAATTGCCTCAAAGCCGTTTCAAGCTGCTCTTTACTATAATTTTGGTAAAACCTAGTCCCAGGCGTTCTTTTGTATTTTCGGACCGTCGTCCCGATTCACCCCTAGAAGTGATTTGTTTTTTCATTAATTATTAATAAAAAAACTTTACAAAATAATTTATTCAAAGACTACTTAACATCTAGAAAATACCCACAGGTATACTATATTAACAATGCAATACTCAAATCCTACAATAAATACCTTTTTCAAACGAAGTTTTCAGCCGGTTTTAAAAACGTAAAATTATACTGCAATATTTTGACACCTGTACCAATGAAGCGTTGCGAATTAACTGACGGCGACATACGAATGTCAAACGATTGTGGTTTCTGCAATAGGCTTTTCATATATCCCGTCCTAAAAACATTGGCTACAAGCATAAAAATCACGTGTTTTGTAAATAAACGTCATACTGTCCCGATTGACCCCTTAGTCCTGATTCACCCCGTTTGACGGTATTTTATTTTAATATTATTTAATTTATGTCATATGCCACAAATTCGGTAAGACAAGATTGTTTTGTAATTTTAATAATTTGAAAAAGTTTTCATCAAAATGTATTTTAGACACCTTTATCCCTCGTATATTGTTAATTCTTAAAAAAAATTGAGACTTCATTTGTAATTATAATTTTATTTCTTGCTTTATATAGTTCTCAGGATAAATTGCGAGTTCCAAAAAAGCTCTCTATAGTATAATTAAATTAATGAAAGAAACAGTATAACTAAAATTATAAATTTGATTTCATTTCTTTGAAATAACAAAATCATTCTATCTATAAATTAAAATTATGGATTAAAAATGGTGCATTCACATGGACAGACATTCATGATATAAGGCAGGGGCTGGTAACTCAAAAAACAAAAGGAAGGTAATTTAGTATCACTCCAATTAACCTGATGGCGCTTGTATCGAAATGTCATGTCAGTTATCAACTCGTCAAAACTTCAAACTTAGAAAAATTAAAATGGCTATTGCATTTGAAGGTGTATTGGATTTTGATTCATCTACATTTATTTTTCAACATCTTCCAATTTTAAGCATGTTTTCAAAAGATTGCAAGAAGGATTTCAGCAACGAACAATAAAGCACTCCCAGATATTGGTAATGATGCAATTTATAACACATTAAATATCATATTAAGGATAACCAAATAATTTGTAGTAAGGGTCTTAAGAAAAATGCATCTATCACTGTTTGGCACCAATGATAAGTAATATTTACAAACTTGTTTTTGATTCAGTGTTAAAATAATTTGTTTGTTATTTAAATTTCTTTTTGTTTTCACTTTTTAAATGATCATTGTTGTAAAGAAAATGTTGGCCCTCCAAAATACCCTGTCGATCGATTAAATATTTGAGCCTCAGCCATCAATATTAAAAATTGATTCAATGCCATTGACATCAAACAAGAAAACACCCCAAAATCTTCAAAGGTCCAAACGTGTGTAAATTTAATTTAAGCTCAAAAGTTAAATTCATTTATCACAGTGCCCAGATGATGAATAATAATTTGATAACAAGTGCTGTTAAATCAATAAAACAATTATCGGATGAAGAAATGCTCCTCAACCTACCTAGTCGACTCAATAAGCGTACGGCATGCAAATTCCTTGATAGTAAGATACCAAAATGATGATGCTTCAACTTCAATTTTTTTAAACTTAATTGCCACTTCAAGTCGCAAAACTTTTATAAAGGTCTTGAGCATATGGGTGATTCTCGGATAACTGTGATTTTTTATGTCCAGTGTTTTATTTATCGTTTAGCATAAGTTTTCTTCATCAAAAAGTTATTAATATTATAAATTTAGAGGTATTTTACAACAGACATTATGAATTAGATCATAAACCTTCGTAATTTTTTTTAAGCTGCATATAAATATACTCGAAATGTCAGTACCGTGGCATGTCCGATTCTCATTTTTGCAATTAAATATATAAATTTCTATCAAAATTCATTTTCTAATATAAAATTTACCTCTTATAACTACAATCCAATGCATATTGCAAATTTTATTGCAATTTTTTACCAATCTTGCGATTGGTAAAAAAAAATAATCATTTATATGTCAGTACCGTGGAACGTGGAAATAATGTCAGTACCGTGGCATTAAAAATTTTAAATTTTGTCACAGTTTTCGTTTTGTCGTAGCTGTAGTAGAACCACTTTGCAGGCTTATTCTGTGCATAAATAGAAAACAAAAACGCGTAAAACATACGTTTTAAAACATTTTTAACTTTAGAAAAATGTAAGTTGTAAAAATCACAGTTACACGAGAATCACCCATATATGCTGATATTGTTACAGAAAACATTTTTAATAGGTTTGTTTTCTAAATATTTAATTATTTAAATGGTGTAAATGCATATTTGTTTGAGATATTTTCATGTTTAAAAAGACAAATTATACATATAATACGGCGTTAATTTACTGTAATAAAAAAAATAAATAAATTTTATTTTATTTCAAGTTTGAAATTAATGCAAAAATATAATGAAGTAAAATCAAATAAAAATATAAATTGGCAAAATATTTGACTAGTTTCAAATCACAAAAGAGTCAATATGGTTGATTTATGATTTGAAACTACATAGTCAAATATTTTTCCAATTAATTTTTTTGTTTGATTTTCTTCATTATGTTTTTGCCCAGCTACCACAAAGTAAAGCCCGCTCGTGGCGGCCATATTGAATTTTAGTACCACTCCAATTTGATAGATGGCAGCACATCGTCTCAGAATTTTACCATTGAGTTTCCCATCTATTCACTTTTCCCTAATCTATCATATAAGGTTTCTACACAATGTCTTCTACTAAGTAGAATCCCTTAAAGATAACTACAATTATAAAATAATAATAATAACTTCATACGTTAATTGGGAGATGGCGCAATGAAATGTTAACGCTTTCATTAATTAAAAAATATCTGAATGAGCTATTCTAATAAGTTGCTTTCTTTTTGAAAGTTCATGTATTAATAATAATTATGGTTCGTAACTTCTTTAATTTGTTACTAGTATTAGTTTGTAATTTAAATAACTTGTATTTCACTGAAAGAATGAAATGTCCTGTCGTTAATGTTTTCCTCAGGAGTGTACAAATGGATACACAACAGTAAATAGTCACCTGGAGGTCTTCGTGTCGGGATTACATATTTTCCCATAGGTAAGTAAATATTTATATTACACGTGAACACTTTTTTACCTTTTAAAGTTGTCATAAACAAACATAATTGATTTAATTTTCCTGTTTCTTTTTATTTTAATATTTAGGACAAAAGGATTTCAGTGGAAAATCAGAGAAAATCAAAAATGCATCATCCCTTTTATAAGTTTCTTTCCTTACTACCTTTTGTTTTATAAATTGAATTTATAATTTTAAATCTAGATGGATGCAAATGGACCTGGCCAATCAGAATTTTGACAGTTTGGTTATATTATTAAAATTTGGTTATTGGATTTATACAGGTAAATTTATTTAAACGGTTTATTGCACCATTTTAATGATAAAATTTATCTCCCATTAATTAAAAGTTTATTTTAAAATTCATGTTGTAAATTTTTTATAAATTTGTATTTTAATATTCATAATTTGTGTGTGGTAATACTGTCTCACTAAATTTAGTTATTTTTGAATCACCATTATACGAGGTGTAGTCTAAAAAACTTTGATGGAAACTTTAGTTTTTAATTTTAAAACTTTTAATATTTTTTTTGATTTCTTGGAATTTCGTATTTCATTATAATATTATTCTATGAATATATGATAATTAAAAAAAAAAAAATCAAAAATAAGTCTATGCATAAGTTTTTGAAAGTAGTAACCGAATGCAAAATGCTAAAGAAAGTTTTTTATGCTCAATAGAAGAATCGTTTACTGTATTTTACCCTATAACAAAAGAACGAAGAAAATAGTATATTGTGCAACAAGTGCAGAAAGTAACCAATTCTATACGATGTGTGAAATTTGTGGCACGAGAGAACGCGAGTTCCACAATCACACGAGTGCGGAATAGGCTTTCTGCACGAGTGGCACACTATACTTTTTCAAGGACCACAATGAATAAAACCCAAATTACACATTTTTTAAAATAATTTGATGAAATTTTTTAATGATTTAAAATTTGAAATATTAAGAGGTGGTAAATTTGTATTATTGTTATCACTTTTTAAATATTTTCTCATCTTTAATCTAAATTTAATTTAATTTTTAAAATGTATAATTTATTCACTTATTTTTTTTTGTTATATATACCTACCTTACACTCAGATGTGATTTTTCATTTTTTTTTATTAACCATAATTAACCATAATATAGAAGATTTAAAAGACTTCGATAGCTCCCCAAAATAAGCCATTAAAATATTTTCATTATTTTTGTTGGCGTCAATTCATCAATCGTGAATAAGCTAAGTTGATTTTTCAAATTAATCACTCTGTATATTCAGTCATTATTGGAATATCCTATTCAATACGAGTTCAACCATATGTAACACTTATGATTTTATGTAGTCTGGAAGGTAGAAATGTGGTAGAAGCATTCTACCATCGATTAGGGTACTGTCAACTCACAAATGGAGCTCATTTTGAACACTTCATAAAGTAACCATTATGTTAAAAATGTAATCTTTCAATTGTTACGTTTTAATGTTGTTGAAAATAGTTTGTATTAAAAAATTTATTGAGACAATTAGGCGTTGCCAGACTTCTGTTTTATTTATTTAAGACCTTCCAGACTACATAAAATCATAAGTGTTACATATGGTTGAACTCGTATTGAATAGGAGATTCCAGTAATGACTGAATATACAGGGTAATGAATTTGAAAAACCAAAGTGACTAATACTATAAGAGAAACGGATAATCTGGCAACATTGCAAATATCAAATCTGGAATCTCCGTATCCCAAAATAGGTGTACCCCAATTTTTGTACAATTAGGACTAGCAATTTACGAGATAATTAGCTATTTCCAGACTTTTGGGCCACTCTGTATATTTTTATATTATTATGTAGTTAAAGTTTTCTAGTGCTATTTACAATTGTTAATAAGTCCAAACTGCATAGTTCAATTAAGTGTTCATCTAGTGTCATAAATCTTTATTCAAAGTTTGGATATATTATCAAATAGTACTTTATTCCCTAATTATAACTTGAGTAAGTTATTCTTTAGAATACTAATCACTTGTGTACTTATTTTAAATATACATTTGTTAATTTTTTAATATTTATTATTAATCTCTCCTCCCCTTTCTAAACCAGGCAAATATTCCGAGCATTTGAGAAGCCTCGACGTTTCTATTCCCTTAGTACTAAAAGAGTCTTTAACTAGTTGCCAAGAACCGCTCGAATATGCTATTAAGGGATAATTTTTTTGTTTTTTAATTTAATTTTTTTATCATTTTTATTTGCTAGTGGGGAATTGAAGTTCCTTCTGGACTCCAGGACCCTTTGGCACTCTGATACTGCTGCCTAAATCCCTTAATAGTATATTAACAACAGTAGGTAAGGACCTATCAGTAGTTAAAAATGGTCTTTGGACTAGTTGGTTGTTACATTTGGTAACGAGCGGTGGTCCTTTAGACAGTTGGTTGTTACATTTGGTGACAAGTGGTGGTCTTTAGATTGTCGGTTGTTACACTATTTTGCACTGACTCGTCCTTTATTTTTATTATGTAATTCCTCAATAAAATTAAATAATTTCCCAGGCATCTGGAAATGCAGTTAAGTGGAGTCTATCTTCAAAAACGGTAACAAATGTATGTAACTAGTTACATGAAGTAGATAATTTTGAAAATTAGGAGAGAAAATAAATATTTTGAGGTCCTTAAAGTACGATTAAAATATTGACCATTTCTTATGAAGCGCCTAGTATATAAATGTGACAAACTCACCTCTGAACAATCAGTAAAGCTGACCCTGACGTTTTGCTTGCATATCTTGCACAACTGAAATTAGAATATTTAAATAGTAGTTTGTCCAACAAGAGTGGATAAATATGGCCATATTGCAAGAAGACAAAGTTTGAGTGCCATTGGGGACTTGAGTTACACACTATATTTTTTCTACGACCCACTAAAGTGTACAACATTTTAAACATTAATCTATTATTAAGATAAAATAACAATTTTGAAAATAATTGATTTTAATTTATGATTTTTACTAAAAATTAATTTTCCTTCATCCTAGAATTTAAGCCCGGACTTGTCGCACGGGAACTCATCACTGCTACTTTACTTAAAATGTACAGTTTCTTTGTACATATAGATAAATATCTTGTGGATTGCCATTATTTATCGATTTTTCACTATAATTATTAATTTTTAATTATTATAAATATACTAACAATTTATTACTTTAACAGATGTATTGTCACTAATTTGAAATTTAAAAAAAGAATAGTCGGACGGTTACTAAATTATGACCTTACTGGAAGGAATATGAAATCATATCCTTTTAGTAGACTGATATGGATTAAATATTCATTCTGTAGTTTATGTATAAAGTAGATAATATACATGTGGGTGTAGACAAAATATGTTACTAATTAGGCAGTTATTTCATTAAATAATTTAATTAAATAAACCTAACCTTTCCTTTTGATTGTAATTCTAATGTATAGTTTTCCAGTTCTTTGATTCTACTTTTTAAAACGTCAACATCTTTAGACGCCTGAAAAATATATAAAAAATTTAATATACAGGAAAATGTACGAGGTCTCTCGGATTCAGATAGAATATTAAAAAATAAGATGACAAGTTCCCATAATTTTTTTCCTAGCGGCCCTCCCTACGGAGATACGGCCTCCAAAAAGACGCCACTGGAAATCAATTTTTCTTGAATATCTTTCAAACTACGTAATATAATTTACTGAAAATTTAATATGATAAACAGTAGTAAAAACCTGTTAAAATACTGACCTTAAAACATAATTAGCTTGTTTAGTTTACCAAAGGCGGACTAGGTTGTACATCTTATTGCTTACATTTTTAACACCCTGTGTGATAAGAAGTTTAAAAAATAAATTTCGATACCTTGAACATTAAGCTAAAAAAGGGTACTCTTCTTCATTGTCGATAAAATTAACCGTTTTCGAGAAAAAAATAAAAGAATTAATGTTTTATTTTTATTAAAAAGAAACCATGATTTCCATTTTTTTTGTCTGCAGCAAAGTGTTATACGAAAGTCATTGAAATAGAACTGTTATCAGTATTAAAAAACGCACTGTTTTTACAAACGTTACCTACGAAATAAATAAATGAATAATTATATTGACGTGTGCATTTTAAATCTTGTTGACACGTTGATCTTTTAGTACCCCGATATTAATTTATTGAATTTTAAATATCTTGGTAAATTTAATTCGATAATGGGATACACATTTAGTGAGTATGCAGATATGCATCTTATGTACGGTCTTGCATCTTGCAATGCTTATGAAGCAAGAAGGTTGTATAAAGAAAGATATCCTAATCGCAATATTCCAAATGAGAAAACATTTTAGCGCTTTGACCAACGTCTAAGAGAGACTGGTGGGCGATTCCCAGTTAATAAGGTAACATTATTGACTTTCTTTAATAATGTTTAGGAAGTTTTGGAAAAACAAGTACTGATGCTGGTGTGACAAGAACAGTACGTACGGTGCAATTGGAGGAAAATATTTTGGATACGATACTCCTTCAATAAGCACTCGAAGATTAGCCGTGCAGCTTCATGTGTCAAAAACGACAATTGCTGAAGTACTTACAGAACAGTTGTTATACCCTTATCATCTGCAAAATGTGCATCAACTACTTCCTGAAGATTTTCCTTGAAGAATCCAGTTCGCAAACTGGCTGTTAGATCAGCAACGAACAAACGGAAACTTCATTTTACCGATGACGCAGGGTTTACCAAAAATGGTATTGTAAATTTACATAACTGGCATGTATGGACTGATGAAAACCCTCATACCACTGTTGTTCATCATTATCAACATCAGTTCCAATCAATTAATGTTTGAGCAGGAATAATCGGCAATTTATTGATTGGACCATGCGTATTGCCGCCACGATTGAATGGAGAACTTTATTTACAGTTCGTTCAGAACGCTTTTCTGGATTCAATAGAGCATTTGCCACTTGAAACTTGCCGAAGCATGTATTTTATGCATGATGGAGCCCCACCTCACTTTAGCGTCGCTGTACGGGAACACCTGAATAACGTCTATCGAAACCGTTGAATAGACAGAGGAGGTCCAATCGCCTGGCCTCTACGGTCTCCCAACCTAACGCCAATGGATTTTTACCTGTGGGGTCATCTCAAAATCTTGGTGTATTCTTCTCCGGTTGATACTAGGAAGGAACTTTTATAGAGAATCACATTTCATTGTGATGTGATAAGGAACAATGCTGGGTTGTTGTAGCGAGTACAGCAGTCTTCTATTTGTCGAGCCCGCGAGTGTATCAGAGTTTACGGAGCACATGTTGAACCCACTTATAAAGTTTTTAATTTAATATTTCTAATTAGCGTATTTAGGTTCAATCGTTACAAGCTTTAATGAGTTCAGGATGAAAACATAATACTTCAAGTTGTATTTTAGAATTTACCAATTTGAAATTAGCTAATTCTGGGGGTTTAATTTTTTAATAAAAATAAAACATTAATTCTTTTTTTTTTCTCGAAAACGGTTCATTTTATCGACAATGAAGAAAAGTACCTTTTCTTTAGCTTAATGTTCAAGGTATTGAATTTTTTTTAACTCCTTATCATACAGGGTGTTAAAAATATAAGCATTAAAATATACAACCTAGTCCGCCCCTGGCAAACTAAACAAGCTAATTATGTCTTAAGGACAGTATTTTAAGAGGTTCTTACTACTGTTTATGATATTAAATTTTCATTAAATTATATTACGTAGTTTGAAAGTTATTCAAGAAAAATTGATTTCCAGTGGCGCCCTTTTGGAAGCCGTATCTCCGTAGGGAGGGCCGCCAGGAGAAAACTTTATAGGAACTTGTTATCTTATTTTTTAATGTTCTATGTGAATCCGAGAGACCTATCACATTTTCCCCGACACCCTGTATACTATACTCATTTACCTTGGAACTTTCTTGTTCTACGTCGTTGCCATATCGTTCCAATTCTTTAATTCTATTACTTAATGTAGAAATATCACCGTGTTTAATCTAATAAAAAAATTAATGATAAGTTAAAAGGATACGAGGGATATCTTTTTAGTTTTGCATACAGGGATATAGAGGGCGCAACGGATCAAATGTCACTTTTAATAAAATTAACTTTTATATTTAATTAACCTAAATCAGAGTTATTCGAAATATGGAATTAAATCGAAAAAATGTTTGCTCAATCGTTTTTTACAACTTTCGAAGAAAATTATCTCAACAAGAATCCTCGCCAAGTTGGTTTCTGTTTTTGGCAATGAAGCACCGCGTCGAAAATTGTTCGGCGATAGTCAATCAAAGATCTCAATTCAAAAAATTTTGCATAAATAATTGTGTGTAAAAAAAAAATTAGTTGACCGAAGAATAGAAAGAAGCTAGGATCAATTTTATTAGTGTCCAAACACTCTAGACCGATTCAATGGAGTAAACTCTAAAATCGTGTACATCATAGTAAGTGGTGATGAATCGTGGATTTAGTCATATGATTAAATGTAAATCGTGTTTGGGTGATCCAATGTGAAGAAAATCCGACAAAAGTCATCCGTTTTCGAAGTGTGTCCAACAAGATGGTTTCAAAATTTTTCTCAAAAACAGGTTATGTAGCAACATTCCCTCTGCAATCCCATAGAATTGTTACTGCCGATTCGTATACAACCATTTGTTTTCCGGAAGTATTAATTATTTTAGAAAAACCAACCCCGGACGACGAATCATCCTCCACCAAGACAATGTTGTTCGCACACAAATCGTAAGACAATTGAATTTTACGAGCAAGAAAACGTCGAATTATTAGATCATCCTCCGTACTGTTCCGACTTAAATCCCTATGATTGTTTTACCTTTCCTAAAATAAAGAAAAGACTGCGTGGTCACAGATTCAAATCGCCAGAAGAAGCAATTTTGACTTTACCAACGAAAAAGTGGAAAAACTGCCTCCCGAGCTGGCTCTAACGAATGTAAAAGTGCAACTATTATCTTCGTGAATACTTCAAAAAACAATAAAATAAATATGTTTTATTCCAGCTCTATATGCAAAATTAAAAAGACAACCCTCGTATTAATAAATTATTCTCCAACATGTTACGGTGATTACAGCACCCCCTTATAATTTTCGGACAATGATATCTCGAAAAGTAATTTTTTAAAAAAAAATTTAATTTTGGAAAAATAAATAAGGCAATAATATCTAGAATATGCGTATTTTTTAAAGTTTTAATTACTACCAGTTTCCGAGAAAAAAAATCAAAGGGTTTTAAATTTTGAAATATCATGATGAAAATAAATGCATTCCTCAACAGCACTATTCTTAATATAATTCATGAATTTAAGCTCTTAATGTCTTGTTAATAATTTTTTAAAATTCGCCGAAATTAGTGGCTAAAACGCCTCGTTAAGTGCTATCTTCTGGTGTAAACTAGTGTAAATCATTTCAGGAAACGAATGATGACTGAGAATGTACGATACGATAGTTACAGTCGCGTTACAATAAAATGCAGCACTTAACGAGGCGTTTTAGCCACTAATTTTGACGAAATTTAAAAAATCATTAACAAGACATTAAGAGCTCAAATTGTGGGATTATGTTAAAAATACTGCTGTTGAGGAATGCATTTATTTTCATTATGATATTTCAAAATTTAAAGCCCTTTGATTTTTTTGCTCGGAAACTGGAAAAAATTAAAACTTTAAAAAATATGCATATTTTAGATATTAATGCCTTATTTATTTTGCCAAAATTTAAATTTTTTAAAAAAATCTCTTTTTTCTTCAAGCGTATAATAATGTTTACATTATATCAAGGTACACGTATTGTAGAAGTAGCCTATTTTTATACTCGTACAAATATTTTTAATTTTTGTATTAGTATAAAAAAGCACAAACCTAATGTTAAATGGCTTATTATGAACGTTGTAATCAAGTAGGCTGGAACTGTCATTTGAATACTTATTTAATTTGACATTTGTCAGTGTTTTTCGAATAAAAAGAAAATGTCAGAAGAAATGCAATCAACACCTCCCGAATTGCTAGAAATAGCGAAATCTTCGATAGAAACCTTAATACCTACGAAATCGAAGAAAGTTTACGATTATGCTTACACAAAATTTGTGAAATGGAGTGAAGAAAATCACGTACATTTTTATTCAGAAAATGTTCTGATCGCATATTTTACTAATTTGTCTGAAAAATTCAAAAGTTCAACAATGTGGTCGCAGTATTCAATGCTGAAATCAGAACTAAATATTAAACATAATGTAAAAATTAAAAACTATTCAAAATTAATTGCCTTCTTAAAAACGAAAAGGTGATAATTATAAACCGAAGAAGTCAAAAGTTTTTTCTAAACAGGAGTTTGATAACTTTCTTACGAATGCACCAAACAAGAGATATTTAGCAACTAAGGTCGGTACATAATTTTTTTAAACTGTTATTTAGTTTTACAGATATTCTATTAATTTCAGCTTTTTTATTTTAATTTTTTTTTATCCATACTTTTATTTAAATGCTTGAAGAAAAAATAGTATATGTCACTCGGATTAGAAGGCCCATTATATGTTTCGCCCAGTTTGCACAGCTTCGGCTAACGCCTCAGTTGTGCAAAATTCTGGGCTCAATATATAATGTTGGCCTTCTACTCCTAGTAACATAATATACTATTTGAGATATCCTTGTCCGAAAATTATAAGGGGGTACTGTATTCACCTTAACAAAGTCATTAATTTTGTTGAACTTACTTGTAATTGGTTTTGCAACGTACAAACGCATTTTTCAAGTTCTTGAATATTTCTATGTTGTTTACTAATTTCGGCACTTTTATTCTGAAATAAAAAGCGATAATTAAAAAAAAAATAATTTATTCTGAATTTTAAATCTGCACTTTATTGCAACATTTTTTTGTTGCTTACTTGGATCTGCTGCTCACATCCACATATACAGCTTTCTAATTCTTTAATGGTGCTACGTAATTTTTTATTTTCGTTCTTTTTTTCCTAAAATAATTAAACTGCATTGTAAGCGAGAACAGTTTTCTATTTACTGTCGTACAATAAGAGGTCTGACAATTAAGTAAGACTGACTTTTTTTGGGCTCATTCCCAACGTTATTGCGTTCAACGTCTACACTACTATCCATGGTTAAAGTGGTTTACGACTATTGAAATACTTACAATTTTTTATTGGATACGACACATGGCGAAAAACTGTAATTTTTTCACTGCGGGAAATTGCGGTACCAAGGACAGACGTTTGCAAAAAATGTCTCATTTAAATCAATTTATTTAAAGCGAACGTACGTTCATTTCGAAACGTACGTTTTAAATACCGAACGCAGCAGTGAACAGACGTTTCTATAGCGAACGGACGTTTTTGGAGAACGCCCGTTCGTGAATAAAACGAGACGTTTATTTCAATAGAACTAAAAACGTCCGTTTTCGAACAGACATTCACAGACGAAGGGCATAAAACTAGATTAAAAGTTCGGGAGGTTAACCTCCTATTGTTCCTCTGTGGATTGATGTGTTTGCGACTCTCATACCTCGTACGATTGTTAGTTTCCCAACTGAGCCTTGTTTTTTGTTGGTATATATTTTTTTCGACATTCCTCATGTAGGTGTATTTGTATTTCGCGCCATGTTAATATTAGTAACCATGTTGGTATTACTGTTTAGGGTGACAGTTGTCAGTCCGTCACCTGTGTTTCCGTTTTGGTTAGATTGATTTATGATCTCGATGTGTAAGGTGCTTTAAGGTTATGTTAAGTTTTTGGTTATGTGTAAAATGCCGCTATGTATTTATAATCAGGTTTATTTTGTGGGAATAAACAGCCATCCGACTACAACTTGTTTAATTTTATGATCCCCCACAGCTCAGAAGTGGGATCTACTACGTATTTTGTTATTTGTTTTATGAGGTAAAAAAAAATCGACAATAAAAATTTCAAGCATGTCTTCAGTCGATCATAATGACGATCAACCGTCTGCCGTAAGTGTTGACGAAGTCGTGCAAGCCACAGTTAGGGCAATTATGGATTATGAACGATTTAAAAATGGAACTAGGCAACAAGAAAATGTTGAGCCAAAGGTTAGTCACGCCGAACTTTTAGCACTACTCCCAGAGTTTTCGGGCACAGAGAGAGGCCTAAGTGTATTAGTGTGGTTAGACCGAATTGAAAAGATACAAACAACATATGGAGTTACAGACGATGTAATCCAACTTTTGGCAATTGGAAAATTAACCAGCAAAGCAAGAGATTGGTATTTAAGTAAAACCGACCTAATTTCGATGACTTGGGACGTGCTCAAGACCGAATTAAGAAGGATGTATGGAAGTACAGCAGACCCAGTTACGCTGAGACGAAGAATGGAAAGTAGGAGATGGAAGAAAAATGAAAGTTTCTCCAATTATTTTCACGATAAACTTATTTTGGGGAACAGTGCCGATGTAGGTGATTCAGACATGATCCATTACATCATCGACGGTTTTGATGACAGGATGTTACAGAACCAGGCTCGTATGATGCTGCACACAATCCATAGTACAGATGAACTGTTTAGTTTAATGAACAATGTGATTAAGGATGATCCCCCGAGAAACACACAGATTCCTTTATTTAGTCAGAGACCTGTCTACAGCAGTACCCCGGGCTCGTCAGGTAGTGGAGTCCAGGCCAGACTGTCGCAAATCAAGTGCTTTAATTGCGGGCGAATGGGTCACCGAATCAGTGAGTGCCGTCAGCCACGTCGTGAACGAGGTTCGTGTTTTAAGTGCGGGAGTGCTACACACAAAGCAAATGAATGTACGAATAGAGGTCGACCGATGTCCTCACAACTTCCAGATTCGACTACACCAGTGCAGAATAGTAATACAATGGCTCTAGTGGAAAAACAAGGAGTGGCTACAGAACCGTATGTTTTAAAGGTAGATTTTATTAAATACCATTATAATGTTTTGGGTATTCTGGACAGTGGGAGTCCAATCTCATTAATTAGTAATCATTTAATAAAATATGGAGATATAGATACGACCCTTAATAATAGCTACAAATATACTGGTATTAACAAGACCCCATTAGATATTATCGGTTTATATTCAGGTGAGATTCGTATAGGCAATATATTAATTAATATGACTTTTCATGTTGTAGAAAAAAACACCATAAGTTTTGATTTATTGTTAGGCAGAGATTTTATGAATAATAATAATATTAAGGATATTTCATTTAAGGATGGGAAATTAGAAATTCAAGGTAGAGCTGAAAATATTAAAGGTTATGACTTCCCATTTAAATGTGTGTCTCAAAATGTTTTCATCATTGAGAATTCATTTGATAATTTAAATTTAAACTTAGACCCATCTCTAACAGCAGTAGAGATTTTTAATAAATATTACCTTCAATCGGAGAGACTTGATAAACCCAAATTTGATTTTAAAATGCATTTAAGTTTAACAAAAACTGAACCATTTTCGTTTCGTCCTAGGAGATTGTCATACTTAGAAAAGAAAGCTTTAGATGGTATAATTGATGACCTTTTACAGAGGGGTATAATCCAAGAGAGTAATTCCCCTTTTTGTTCACCTATTGTTTTAACTAAAAAAAAGTCAGGTGAGTACCGACTCTGTATAGATTACAGAACGTTAAACAAATATTTAGTTAGGGATCAGTTCCCCTTACCAATAGTTGAAGACCATTTAGACCGATTAAAAAATAAAAAATATTTTACCAGACTAGATTTGAAAAACGCGTTCTACCATGTTGATTTAGACCCAGAATCGAGAAAATATACATCATTTATTACCCCCTCAGGGCAATATGAATTTTTAAAGATGCCCTTCGGTTTAAGCTCGAGTCCCTCAACTTTTGCACGCTTTGTTAATAAATTTTTTAATAAACTTGTAAAAGAAGATAAAGTATTGATATATTTTGATGACATTCTCATTGCTACTTCAACTGTTAAAGAAAATTTAAATATTTTGAAAGAAGTGTTAGATTTAGTAACGGAAAATTTGTTAGAATTAAGACTAGATAAATGTCAATTTTTGTACAGGGAAATTGATTTTTTAGGCTACTTAGTCAGTGAGAATGGTATAAGCCCCAACCCGTCTAATGTAGATGCAATTATGACTTATCCGGTACCTACAGATACCAAGCAGGTACATAGATTTTTAGGTATGTCTAGCTACTTTAGGAAATTCATTATGAATTTTTCAATAATCACTAAACCTCTATATGAACTTTTGCGCAAAAATGTTAAGTTTGTTTTCAACGAAGAACATTTAAAGGCTTTTGAGGCTATTAAGTTGAAATTGATGTCAAAACCAATTCTAGCTATTTACAATCCCAATAGTGACACTGAGCTGCATTGCGATGCAAGTTCCTTAGGTTTTGGTTCTATACGAGGGGTCTTTCACTCTTGGCAATACATGTACGTTTTATGCGGTATTACTTGGCATTACGACGGAATTACGTGGTATTACTTGGCATTACGGTGGAATTACTCGGTATTACTTGGCATTACGACGGCATTACTGGTATTACCAAGGTATTACATGGAATTACGTTGGCATTACTTTGAACGCATGCGCTTGAACCTCGATTGTTTACGTTCATAGCCTAACTTAAATCATTTAATGTTGGTCTTTCGTACAGTGCAGTTGTTAGAAAGTGGTTTTTGCAAAAATTTATGTTTCAGGTAAGTAAATACATTTTAATTTGAGATTGATTGGTCAATTGAGATTTTAACTTGCTATTATAAAAAGCTAGAATTTTGCTTTTTAAATAAAAAATTTCAACACGTTTCATGAAATCGGGTAGAGTGGATGAGGTAGAGTTGGGTAAAGTGGGAGGTAAAGGTAGATTGGGGTCTAGTGAGGTAGAGGGGGATAAAGTGGGGCGGAGGCAGACTGAGAGTAAAGTGGGGTAGAGTGGGATAAAGTGGGGCGGAGGCAGACTGGGAGTAAAGTGGGGTAGAGTGGGATAAAGTGGGGCGGAGGCAGACTGGGAGTAAAGTGTGGTAGAGTGGGATAAACTGCGGTAGAGTGGGATAAACTGCGGTAGAGTGGGGTAGAGTGGGATAAAGTGGGGTAGAGTGGGATAAAGTGGGATAAAGTGGGTAGAGTGGGATAGTGGGGTAGAGTGGGATAGTGGGGTAGAGTGGGGCAGAGGCAAATTGGGAGTAAAGTGGGGGGTAGGGTGGAGTGGTGGGGTGGGGTGTAGGGTGGAGTGGAGAAAGAAAAGAGACAATCTATATAACTATTTATACCATTGTCAATTACATCGCTGAGTGTCAACTGTCGTTAGAATTAGGCATTCCAACGACTGTTCACACTCGTCAATGTAATTGACAGGGTCAATGATATACATTTTATATAGATTGCTTAAATCGGGTTGCATTGTGCGCTGGTACTGCTGGTAGGCACCTCTAATCTGTCGTTTTTATTTTTTGGATGTGCTAAACTGATTTTCAATGAACAAACTCTGCAATCACTTTATGGTACTTGTGAGCGAAAATGGCCGCGAGCAATACCGCTTTAAGCAATCTGTATACATATGTATATAATTGTCAATTGCCAAGTGTCAACTGTCATTGTAATTTATAATTTGGGAAATAAGTGAATATAATTCCTGATTCCCCTACGAAACAAAGAAAAATGCCCAAATTTTTAGGCAACTGAGATCTATGACATCAACATACTCTACAATTGTTAATTTTGACATGTCAGAGATTTTAAGAAGAGTAAACAGAGTTCAAATCATTAATGATATCATGCACGATGAAGGTAAAAAGCGCTGTAATATTACTTTGAATACATAATTTGTTTTC